AGACTCATTGGGACCTAATGCAACTCCTAAGTCCTAAAACAAACCCTAAAGACCTAAAATGCATGAAATAAGATATGATTTGAAATGAAATATACAATCTAAATGATGCAAATTATGAACATATCAACTCCCCCACACTTGTCCTTAGCTTGTCCTCAAGCAAAAAGAGCAAATGAGAGAAAGAGGTTGGATGCATTGGGAGTTTATATTCCTTAATGAGAGAGTGTATCACTAAAAGAATTCAAGGCTCACTGTCCTAGTTGATAATTCTAAGATGCATTGCAAACAAGATTACTCACAAAACTTTAGCCATACTTATCAATAAATGAATCAAGCTCAAGCTTAAGTTTCCACAAACAGCCATAGTTCCAACCTTTTGACATTCATTAAAGCTCATGTGAATCATGCTTATGCAAATCATGTGAACTCACTTATCTTGGGACAGGGTCATGAGACAAAGATGACCTCATTTAATGTTTATGGTTTCCATGCAGCTCAATGGATCACTCAAGAAGGAATAAACTTTAACAGAATGCTAAGGGTAAAAGGCAACTGGTGCATACAAGAGCAGAATCCCATCTACCCAATGCCCCAAATTGGTCTTTTACCTTAACTCTACTCCCATGAAGATTACATCCTAGCTACTCCTTTCTCAAGACATTCATTGCCTTATCAACCCTCTCCTCACGTCACTTCCATTCTTTTTCTCACCAGGGGGTTCATCTTTTCAACTTTAAACTCAGGCTTTGGGGTCTGAATCTTCCACTTAGCTCTTTCTCATATAACACTTTCTAGCCTCTTTTCTTTTCTTTTCAAACACTTGAGCCCTTTTGGCTTCTTTTCTTTTCCTTTTAATTAGAGGATAGACTTTTCTTTTCAACACACAAGAGCTTTTCTTTCTTTAAACAGCAGACCCCAAACCGCTTTCTTTTTTCTTTCAACCCCTGGTTTTCATCTCAAATTTCCTCTTTTCCACTCAGCGTTTCTCAAGAACTCTTCATAGCCTACTCTAGACTCATGATGCTGAGCTAGATCTACATGAGACCCTACTCCTGTCGCCCTAAACCCAACACTTTCTGTCAAGTTTATTTAGAAAAAGGCCTCACATCTCTCACTATAGTGTTTCAGGCTTCAAGGAAGGTTAGGTTCAAGGCGGGGAACTGTCTCAAGGTGAGAGAACAGCTATTTGAGCTAGCAAAGAGAGGTAAAAGGGATAAGAGAGCTCAAATATTTTAAGGGTACCCAAGAGTTCACAATGACATGCGCAAGCAATGACTCCCTTGCATTGATGCAGCCTACATGAATATGCAACTAGACTCAATCCTAAAAATGAGAATGCAACTACATGAACATTTTTTTGTGAAATTTTTGTTGATTTTTCGATTTTTTTGGTTTTTTAGATGCACTTAGATGAAACTACATGAATGCATGCAAGAATGTGACTCAAGACTCAAAGTATAAAATAAGAACAGAGAAAACATGAGTAGTGAAAGATGAAACTCATCCCCCACACTTAAATAACACAGTCCCTTGTGTTATAAAAGCATGAGAAAGGAGTAAAAGCAAAACAAACAAGTAAAATGCAAAGAGGAAAAGAAAATCTACATGCATATGTACAAGGTGTGGAGTGTTACCTAAGAGCTGTGGAAGTCGGACTCCAAGGAGTAAGAGGGGTTTGAAGTGTGACCGGATGGTGTCTCCCAGGAGTGATGACTTGCCTCATCAGACCCGTCTTCAAGATCCACCCATGCTGTGCCATATGGGACCAGGGCTGTGCAGTTGGTGGAACTCTCTCCAACCTCTTCTCTGTTCCTTGGTGAACCGGTGTTGGAGATCCACCTTTGCAAGGGTTTTCAAGCTTCTTGATCCTCTTCTTCATCTCCTTGATGCACTTTGCCATCTTGTGGATGTGGGAGTCGAAACTCGCACAATCAAAATTTGTTAAGGAAAAGGAGGGGTCTAAAGCTTCTAAGTGAAAATCTCAAGAACAAAGATCGAAAAGTAGTTTTATTGCTTAGGGTTTCTGTGATTGCGTAAAAGTACTATAATGAGAGAATTACATCGACTATTAATACTAAATCTACAAACCGTCTAGCCAAGATTCTCTCCCGAGATTCTCGGAATTTTTCCTTTTCTCTTGTCCCTTCGTAAAAGGGGATTCTTATCTTTCCTGGTTCAGGAATCCGAGCTTCAGTGATTTGCGCCGTGAATGGCGTGCGCTGCATTTCTTCCAACATTCGATCTATCTCCGGTGTCAAACTGATTGCATGATGGACTTTTGATCTGACTGCCTTCATCTCGGCGGCTGTCCGAGCTATAGTGGCTCGAAGCTCGTTCATCTCCTTTGTATGGTTGTTCTTTCACGGCTCGTCAACTTTGTCCTCGATACTGCCACCATTGAGAGCAGCTCGACGTGCGCTACCGCATTGATTCCCTTTTCGCGCCGAGCTATCTTGTTTTATTTGCTCGACCCAAAGTAAGTTTTCCTCTTCTTCCGTCAGGTTTTGATTTCGGAGCGCGACGTCATCTTCTTCGTTCACCCTTGCTCCTTCCAATGCTTCTTTGAGTTCGGCTCGGGTATTACGTCCTGAAGCTCGGCTCGGTTGAAGGACGAGTTCCTCTTCTTGGTCGTCTTCGTCATCGACAGTGATCGTCTCCTTACCGATATCTTTTACGGCCTCACCATCGTTCTGCTTGGCATGTTTTTCGCCGTTCATTCTTCCTCTCCGAGCTAGCAGAGGTGGTTCGGTCGGTGTGGACTTCTTCACCGCGGGTGTCACCAAGTCGGACGGATTTTGCTGCGTCCCTCCGAGCCAGTTTGCGGGAGTCGCGAACTCGAGGGCGGTTGATCGCAGGCCGAACCTTCGCAGGACATCTCCGGAAGTTCCCGTCACTCCGAGGCGTAGATTCCTGACTCGGTTCTCCATCGTCAACCCTTTGAGTCTCTCCGCGAAAGAGCTGTTCTGCTTTTCGTGCATGTTAAACGTTTCCATCATTGCTTCGAGCATCTTCTTCACCTCGTCCAAGGGTTCAGTTGTCGCGCGTGCATCCGTCGGAGGAGGATTCTCCTTGCTTCGGGTGGGATCTCCGCCGTTGTTCTGGTCGTCTCTCCGTTCGTCTTCGGACATCTTTTCAGATCTCGTTAAAAGAAGTTTTCGGTGTAAGAAAGCTTTATCTCCCCACAGACGGCGCCAAATTGTGTGAGTCGAAACTCGCACAATCAAAATTTGTTAAGGAAAAGGAGGGATCTAAAGCTTCTAAGTGAAAATCTCAAGAACAAAGATCGAAAAGAAGTTTTATTGCTTAGGGTTTCTGTGATTGCGTAAAAGTTCTATAATGAGAGAATTACATTGACTATTTATACTAAATCTACAAACCGCCTAGCCAAGATTCTCTCCCGTGATTCTCTGAATTTTTCCTTTTCTCTTGTGCGGCTGGCGATTTCGATCATCCTTAGGGTAAATTCCTCTTGGGCTCGTTTACTGGATATTCACGGTTACTCGGCTCCGCCCATCAATGCTTCCTACCCTTTGGCTCGGCCCAATACATTTTGTTTACGGGATTGCTCTTTGACTGAAGTACGCAGGAAGATCTCGGACCGAACTTGACCAGGCTTGGTTCGGTTCTATGCTCTCCCTGGTTTGGTTTGGCCGGATCGAGAGCCGCTGATCTGGCTCGGTTCAACCGAACCAGCTTTTGGTTCGGCTCGGCCCAAGATCGAATCGGGACCGGCTCGGTTTAATTTCTTCTTTGGTTCGATTCCTCCCACCAAAATCGTGTTCTTGAACTTTTCGAAACCCGATTTCGACACTTATCTTTTTTCGAGCAGTTAAACTCGTGAGGGTGAAAACCGACCCCAAAAGTTTGCCCCCCAGCTCGTCAGTTTCGTATACGAAGATGTCAAGATTAACGAAGCCGAGGTTAACTACCGGATCATACGATAAATTCCCTTGTCAAGGTTTTTGGGTCGGCTTGATTTTTGTTTTGTTGTTATGATTTTTTTGAGCTGTGCCGAGCCAAAAGAGTGCTGGACGAGCTGAGACGAAATTCTGCTCCGGTCTTTGCCGAGCCGAAGCGAAGGAAGCTTAAATGGATCGAGTTGCCGAAGTGAGATGACGGGCGATGTCGCAAATATCGCCGAGCTGAAGCAAAGAAAAGATGCGTCGAATGTCGCCGAGCCGAAGTGAAGGAACAAAGCAGCAAATGTTACCGAGCTAATATTTGCCGAGGTGAGAATGGAATTTGGCTAAAGTTGCCGAGTTTCGATTAGTTTTGCCGAGACGAGAATAAATTTCGGCTCGTCTCATTGAGGTGTAAGCTCGGCTCGGTGGACTTTCGTCGCCGAATAACGTTACGACTTATTTTGTCGAGATTCTTTTTTTTTTGTTACGGACACGCAAGTTGACGAATTTTGTCGAAAGGAGGATCTTCATAGCGAAATTCCGAGCCACTTTTACATACGATTATGCTCGGGCTTGGGCTTTAGTTTCCAGGCCCACTATTTGTCGCGGGACCCACACCAAGACTTCTAAATATAGGCGAGCTCCCCTCTTCATTTTTCACAATCTCTTCACTTCTCCAAAACCTCATAAGGTACTCTCTCTTCTCTCTCTCTTTCCTCTTTCTCGATTTTTTTTTAGCTCTCTTTCTCTCTTTTTTTTTTTGAGCCGCCGCCCCACCTAGGGTTTTACTCGGGGTGCGGTGAGTTTTTGATGTTTCCAATTGGTTTGCCGATCTCCCGATCCATCGTTAAATTTCCCGATCCTCTTCCGATAAATTCCTGATCTTTCTCCTGCCAATCTTCCATAACCCGAGATATCGGAACAGAGCGAGCCGAGATCTTCTGCCGATTATGCGAGTTCCATTTCACGCCGAGATTCGTCGGATTTTGGGTTCGGCATCCCGAGATGCCGAATCGATGATCTTGTCTGATAGCGTAAAACCCGAGCTCGAGGATTTTGATTTTGATTGTCGCGGCAAGACGAGAACTTGAAACCGTGATGGCAAAGTTTGGGGTAGGTCCCTCGAAGCCTCGAAGCTCCCGAAAGGTTAAAAAGAAGAAACCGGATCCGCCTGGTTTGTCTCTTTCGACCGAGGAATCGCTACAGAAGCTAAGGCAGCGTTGCGGGATTTCCTAGGCGGTCGAATTCGTTGCGCCCGAACCCTTCGATCGTGCCAATGAGCCCCCGCCGAACCATTTCACAGCCTACGAGTGCTTTTTCGAGTTATGTTATTTGTGGTTCCCTCTACCCGAGCCGATTTTGCGATATCTTTGGCTACATGGGATCTCGTTGGGGCAGATCATGCCACGGGGTCTTCGGCATATGATCGGTATTTTGGTTCGAGGCTACGAATGCGGTATCGATATTGGGGTTAACCATTTTCGTAATTTTTTGGAGATCCGACGATCTTCAAAACTGGGAAGATATTACATCTCGAACAAGAGATCTTGGAGGATAATCGGGGGATTTCCAAGCAAAGATAATTCTTGGGACAATTATTTTTTCTACGTTCATGTGGATCAGGCTTCTGTCGGGAATGACTTCCTTAATTTAATCAAGACGGATTGGGGACCACTTGGTAGTTTGCTCGTAGTTCTTGGCTCACTTTGTTTTTAGTTCCGATACTAACGTTTTCTTTTGCCTTCTTTTTTTTTTTTTGCAGTTCGCGATCCGCTCCCGCCGGTTCCCAAAGACATCGCTCAGACCAAGGAAATACTTGCTGCCCGTAAAGTTAATTGGACGAAGCATTTCTCGTTCGGGAGAGTCGAGAAAGCGAGAGCCTTACTTGCCGGAGCCCCTGTTAGTTCGGATTCTTCTACTTCGTCGGACGACACAATCGGGAGAATGGTACGTTTATCTATCCGCGACAAAAAGGAGAGAGCCGACAAGGAACAGGCAAGCGGAGCCCAAGAGAACGAGATGTCGACCGTCGAGGCCAAGCCGACCCCTTCGGCGCTTAACGAGGTGAATGCCGAGAATGCGAGCGAAGTTTTAAAACCATTGAGACGAACCCGACTGATGCTGATGTTTCAGGGAAGACTCCCGAGATCCCTTCATCCTGAAAGGTTGCCATTGGATCGTCCGAGGTCCACGTTTTGGTAGCGAGGGTCGCGTCATCGTCCTGGGTTTAGCGAGCCGATCGAGACCTTCTGCTTAATTCCGTCCTGACAAAGCACAAAGGCGGCTTGACTCGGAAGCGTTCTTCCTCGGAAGGTGACAAGGAAAAAGAGATTGCCGCGCCAAAGAAAAGGCGCACAATACTGATAGACGGAGAAGTCGCTCCTTCAATCGTAAATGATGCTTCCGCTTCGGCAACTCTCCTATCGAAGATCAACAACAAAGGGGTTCGGCTACCACCCGCGGATTTGCTTATAAAAGCGAAGTCTTACGCGAGTATGTCGCAGCGAGGCACCAAGGTAAATTTTCGAAACTTTAGCTCGTTTTGTTTAAATATCGGCCCGCGTTTCACACTTACGTTTTTTTTTTTTGCAGTTTTTGGCTTCCATAAACGAGACGATCGCGGGATACGAAGCTGGATGCTCGCAAGGATCAACGACGAATTGATGAGGCGAGGAAGGACGCTGTCACGCTTTTGACAAAATTGGATGAGGCCGAGCGGAAATTTTCCTCTGCTATGGCTCAGGCTAAAGCTCGGATCAAAGCTCTCGAGACGGAGAAGAAGACGTTGAAGGACGAGTGTGTTAAGGCCACCGATATGGCTGTTCGTCTCGAGGAATCAAGAGCTAAGAAGGATACCGATATCGCTTCTTTGCAAAGGCAATTGACCGAGAAAGACGCTCTTCACGAGGCGAACATCAAGAGAGCAGTAAAATCTGCGAGGAGGGACCTGACCGAGAAGATGCGAGGCCGTCTTAGCAGCGCGGACGATGCAAAGGACAGTCAGTTGAATCTTGCGCAGATTTGATAACTAAGATTTTTAGGTCTTAGATGGGTTATCAATCCCTTATGTCACTTGTAGTACAAAGGGTATCAATCCAAATGTGTGTTTGCTAGACACTAGTTTATGTGACAAGTTCTTAAGTCAAGCTGAATAAAAGTTGAGTTTGGTGAAACCAGCAACAAGAAAACATAAAACAAGAAACAAGCAAGCTATTATGAATGAACTAAACAAAGCAAGCAAACAAAACAAAGTGATGATGATTAAGCAAATGATAAAAGATAAACCTCTAGATGTGATCATTGATTAGGGTGCTTTAGATATTGATTCATGATGCTAAGAACATAATGCAACACTTGCTACTCTTTAGTCTAGGCTTCTTAATCAGATTAATTCATTCCCATGACAATAATCCCTTTGCTAATCACTTAATCAAGTCTAACAACCATTAGATATAATCAAGCAATCAACAAGCATAATGCATCAAGCCTAATAAGTGACCAAACAATCTCTCAACCAAGAAGACTGAATCTTATACAGAAAGACATAACAAGCAATCACATGATCTCAAACATTTCAACTTAGAACTCTAATCTAGACTAATCATCTCATGAAGGCATTAATCTCTACACTAATCCACTTTCAAACCAAATTCTCATTTGTGAAATATGAACTAATGAGCATTAAGAAACAGTTCTAATATGTCATTTATGCTTCAAACAAACATTCCCATGGCATTTAAAACATAAACCCTTAAGTTAGCTCTTTCAGGCATTTCATCAAACACTTTTGGTGCATGAAATGCCTATGAACCCAGATTTCACTTTCCCAAGGAAATCTGGCATTAGGAGCAGCTAACTAAGGAAATGAAATGAGAATCTAAACCCTAAACAAAATCAAACATCTAAGCACCCTAATCTACACACCTAGAAGTTTAAAAAGATGACTACTCACTAATCATGAAGAACACATCTAATCTTTTGCAAGAGATGATGTTAATCATGATTAGAAGTAGAAATGAGATGATGAGATGATAAGAAACAGACTTAGATTGATTAAATCCTTGAGATATCTCTCAATCAAAAACGTTTTTACACTAAAAAGGAAAGAAAACTAGAGAGAAACTAAGAGAGAAGATAACATGTCTAGGGTTTTTCTCCAAAAAGCTATATATACTAAGTGCTAATGAACCGGGTCAGCCCGGAACAAACCGGGTCCTGACCCGGCTTTAGTGGGTAAAGTGGAATTACTGCGGGTTGGTCCAGTGTCTCCCAGGTAGCATGCCCAAGTCGCAGTATTGTGAGACTTAAATCGCTTTGTCTTAGCCGCACGCCCAAGTAGGAGTGTTTTGCGAGTCTTTGTGCGGCTTAATCTTCTTCTTCTTCAACTCGCAGGACCAAGGCGGTTTCTGGGGAATGTACATGTGCGACTTGGTCATCCCTAGTCCCAGGTAGCAGGCTCAAGTCGGAGTAAATTGCGAGTGATCATGCGGCTTGGTTCCAGTGTCTCCCAGGTAGCATGCCCAAGTCGCAGTATTGTGGACTTAGCAATTTTCTAGCTCGGGAGCCTCAGACCTCATCCATTGATAGCGTACCCGCACTTCTCAACTCGCAGCATCGATTTCCAGGCATTCGTCTTCAGGCCTGCGAGTTAACCAAGTCGCAAGGCTTTCTCGCAGCATTCAGAGCAGCTTGGACAGCTTCGCATTCCGGAGAGTGTAACGTCTAAGATAATTGTCCGAATTGAGTGATTCCGGTTGCAGAGAACAGAGGACTCATATATCTCCAACGTTGGTCAAGGAAGCTTCGGTGCTTGGGAAGTGGAAGGCTTCCTGGAGGGCTCATCTTTGTAGTGCATTTACACGATCAGAGAGAGGCGTCTAGAAATGTGTCCTTTCCGGAGATCGTATCTTCCTGCTCATAGCTCCGAATTGAATGATATCGGAAGTTCTTGAAAGAGTACTCAAATTTCTCTGATTCTCATGACAGCCCCGGAAACTGAATCGGCCTGGAAGTGCACCATCCTTCGCGTTCTTTGGAGCTCATCGGCTCGGTCCAAAACGGCAGAGAGACAGGAGTTTCTTCCGACGAGCTTAACTTTCTGCTCACGCGTCCGAATTCCATGATTTTACTTGCTCTGGAATCGTGATCCAATCCTCTCCAACTTTGATGAAGCACCCGACAACTGAATCGGACCGGAAGGTTCCCCGGACAGGCGATCATTCAGGGGTATCGGATTGCTCCGGAATGGATGCGAGAGAGGTCTGTCTTCCGGTGACTGTATCGTTCAGCTCAGTGCTCCAAATGCCGTGATTCAACCTGTCCTGGGTTCTTGACTCAAGTATCTCCAACTTTGCTGAAGACCCTGTAAGCTGAATCTGCCGGCAAGAGCTTCCGGTGACGCGATTTCGGAAATGTATCTGCACCCGGGATGTTTGGCCGAGAGACTTGACCGCGGTACGTGTTTTTGGCCGAGAAAGCTACCCGCAGGAAGGATTTTGATATGTCTATATTTTACATCATTTAGATTGCATTATAGAGTCCTCATCATATGTTTTCTCATGTAAATTGAGTCTTTAGGCGTTTAAATAGAACTTAGGGCTTGCATTAGGTCCCAAAAGTTTTGCATGTTTTGAAGTCTTTATCAGGAGCTTTGGAGACCAATTGGAGCCTAAGAAGAGGAACAGAAAAGAAAACGGTGAAGAAAAGGGTCAAAAATGGTGAAAACCGCTTGGAGGAATTTCTCGGCCAAATCTCGTACCGGCTGGTCGGAAACCTTGGCCAAAATGTTTACCAGACGCTCATTACCGGCCAAAAACCTTACCGATCGGCCAGAATCGAGTATCGAGTGCAAAAATACCACGGGACAAGTTTTTGTCGGAGGCAAGAATTTTTACGACCAAAAAGCTTACCGCGGTACACAGCCCTCGGTCATTTTTCTTACCGCGGGAAGGTTTTTACGACCAAAAGTTGTCCTTGCCCGCGCAATTCAGAGATCAGCAATCCGGGGAACCTACCGGTCCGAATCAGTTGGCGGGGTCTTCACCAAAGTTGGAGATAATCAAGCAAAGATTCCAGAACAGATGGAATCATACAATTCGGACCAGTGGAGAGAAAGATATGGCTTCCGGAGCATTCACCAGCATTGCGCATACCCGAGAACTGAACGGCGAACTTCAAAGTTCATGGCGGACGGAGCCCCTCCAGACCAAACCAGCTTACCCGGTCTTCACCAAAGTTCGAGATCCATGGAAGTTCTTCTCAGAGCATTTGGAATCGCTCAATTCGGAGCAAAGGTTTGGAAGATAGGGTCTCCGGAGTTCATATCGGTCTAAAAGTCTATTTTCCGGTGATTTCAATGCGGCGCAAAGACGTTAAATCCAGGAAGCCTTCCACTCCCCAAGCTCCGATGGTTTCTTCAACAAAGTTCGAGCTTATTGAGTCATCTTGACTGTGGAACTGGTCGCAGAGCAATTGGATTCGTGTGCTGAAAGTTACTGCTTCCGGAAGGTGACATGGTCGATACAAGCCTAAAAGAGTTGCGATACGCGCTAAGTATTTTCACAAGCCTCGGTATCTTTACCTTGGCGTCACTCAAGTCGAGGCTCATATCTTGGAAGTATTCTGGACTAGACCTCGTGCCAAAGCCTTGGCATGGTTAGATCGAGGCATGCATACGTAAGAACTGAAGCTGGAAACGACTAAGTGTTGAAAGTACACCTTGGTGTAATGACCTCGGCGTGCATGCCGGACTGTGTTCTCCCAAGCACCTCGACATCATGACCCCTCGACATTTTATCCCGTGGTCCCTTGTCACGAACCCAGAATCAAGAACAGAATGGCTCAAGAACATACACGTGAGGATAGATCAAAGACTAGGGTTCATGCATGTTCTTGACATGTTCTTCACGAGATCTTCATCTGGATCCTGACTCACGTGCACGCCTCGGCATGAAGACCTCGTCTTCACTTTCCGACACACCGTGGCACTCACCCATCAACCCAAGAAGGCGGTTCAGTACCCGGTTTGTTACGGGCTGACCCGCAACACTTTCCCTTTGCTATAAATACATTTTGAGACTAAAAACCTAGTTATCTTATCTCTTATCTGTTTTTAGCTCTAAGAACTTGCCTCTTTCGTGAAACTTGATTAATCTAATCCGATATCTCGTTTTTGCATCAGAATCTTGTTCTTTCTTTATTTCTTTTATCATCCAACATCAAACTCCTTATCATGACTAGCTACACGTCTTGCAAAGGACTTAGTGAGCTCGTTATGATCAGTGAGTAGTCGTTTAAGCGGCTTTAGATAGGTAGATTAGGGTGCTTTCAAGGTGGATTAATGGGTTTAGGTGTCTAGTCTTGCATGTTTCATTCCTTAACCGACGAGATCTCTAAGCTGGATCCAAGCACATCACTTGAAGTTCAGATCTGAGACATATCTCGCATCAGAAGTGTTTGTAGAAATGTCTGAACCACTCGGTTAAGGGTTTAAGAGTCTTTCATCGTGAGAGTGATAGTTTGTTCTCTTAAATGACGTTTTTGAACCGATTATTATTGCTGACTGATTCGTGCTTCTCAAAAGGGATTTTGGTATGAAAGGGGATCAGTTTAGACGTTTAATACTTTCATGAGAAGATTAACGTGCCTTGAGTTCAAAGTCAAATGAAATCGCTTGATAAAATGATTCATTAGCCCCTTAGTCTAACTTGGAAGCACCCGAGTCAAATATCCTGTCTAAAGCTTCTGCCTTTATCATTCGTTACCATCATCTGAATCACCTGTTTGTTATTTGCATCTTGATTAGTTTAAATCTCTGCTTTTATTTAACTTTATTTCTCATTTGCCTGTTAATCATCGTCACCAAACTTTTATCATCTTGTCTTGACTTAAGTGAACAAATGACATAGGCTAGTGTCTCGTTTACAAGCTTGGTTTGACACCCCTTATACTACTTTGACAAGGGGATTGATAACCCTTCTAAGAGCCTGAAAACTCTTAGTTATCAATTCGCGCCGTTGCCAACTT